CTCACAGGGTGGTTGTGAAGATTAAATGAGGTAATGCACATGAAGTGTCACATGTATAGAAAACACTCCATAAATGTTAGCATTATTATTATGGCACAAGCTTGGCATGTTTACCATAGGACTTCAAAAATGCACAGGTGTATAAAGCTTACATAAAGCACCCATGATTTCATCATCTCCCCAAACCAGCCCTACTTCTTTGTGTATATATCCTTTCAGATTTTTTTTCTATTCATGTGAATTTATGCCTTTTTTCTTCCCCTACAAAAAAGGGATTATATAGCAAATGTTTAGTAACTTGCTTTTTTCATGAACAGAATATCATAAGCGGTTTCCAAGCCAGGAAAAATCTTTCTATAACACTATCATGGTGGATAAGAGCCCAGGCTCTGACACCAGACTGCCTGGGTTTGAATCCTAGCTCTATCACTCACTGTGCGACCTTAGGCAAATGACTGAACTTATCTGTGCCACAGTTTTCTTTTCTTTTTTTTTTTAAATAAATTTATTTATTTTTGGCTGTGTTGGGTCTTTGTTGCTGTGGGCGGGCTTTCTCTAGTTGTGGCGAGTGGGGGCCGCCACTCCTCGTTGCGGTGTGTGGGCTTCTCATTGTCGTGGCTTCTCTTGTTGTGGAGCACGGGCTCTAGGCACACAGGCTTCAGTAGCTGTGGCACGTGGGCTCAGTAGTTGTGGCTTGTGGGCTCTAGAGCTCAGGCTCAGTAGTTGTGTGTGTCACAGTTTTCTCATCTGTAATATGGCACCAGTAGTAATCTCTTTGTCATAGGATGTTGTGAGGATTAGATCAAAATGCATATGATACTTAGAGGAGTGCCTGCACATAGTAAGCGCTATGTGTCATCATTCTCCACGGCACACTGATTTCCACAGTAAGGATGTGTGATCATATGTTTGACCAGCTCCCTTTGTGGGATAGCTGGGCTATTTCTAAACTGTTTCGGTTCTAAACATACTGTGAACATCATTCATTATCAGGGTTCTCTGGGGGATACAGATACACGTATAGGAGGTGGCCATCCAATGTCTGGATTTCTCTGTGGCTCACGTGGGACAGGAACAAAGCTCAAGGGAGCTGGGCCAGCCGTGCCTGGCGGGTTTGAGGGGATCGAAGCTGCTGAAAGAGGTGGGTAGGCAATTTCCTCATATGTGAAATAGGGTGTGATGATCTCTCTTCAGGCTATTCTGAGCTATTTTGAGCTCAGTTGAAGCTCACATGCCAATCCCAACCCCTTGGCCATCAGAAAGTCCCAGGAGAAGAGGGGGAACAGCCCTGAATTCCTGTCTGGCCCTTGGTCTTTTGAATGAGAGCAAATGATTTCCTCTTCCCTGTCTTACTCATCTGTAAAATGGCCACTGCTGATCTCCCCTGCTTCCTGATTGGTGGTGGCAGTGTGGGGAACTGGGGAGCTCTGTGTCAGGCCTCATCTCAGCCCAGTTCTGTGCCCTTAGGATCCCAAAGGGTCCTTTCAGGTTGCAGAGGTGAAAGGCTGGAACTTGGCTAGAGCCAGAGGGGCTTGGGCTATGGTCGGTCAGGAAAATACAGGGTCCAGCTGGGACTGGAGGTGTGAGAGGAAGGGAATGGAGAAGGGCAGACTTACTGTGGCCTGTCCTAGGGCTGTTGACAAGTAGGCCTTTCCCATCATCCCACTCCAGCCAATCATTAGATCAACAATCCTTACCAGCAAGAGCCATGTACAGGGACCAGAGCATCAAGGCTTCATACTGCTCAGCTTGTGACTCAAGCCAAATTCCTTTACCATACCAACTGCATGACCTTGTTTTCTCTGAGCTTCGGTTTTCTCATCTGTAAAATGGAGCTAACATGTTCTGCTTCTAAACATAGGGCTTGAAGTGTCTCCAGAGTTGATCTTGGCACAGGGTGGGCGGGTGACTCAACTCTGGACACCAGGTAGTTGACATTTGAATTGGGACTGGAACCCAGACCTCCAGATTGCATCATCTTGGGCCAACCCTGGGATTCTCTCTGCCCTTCCTCTGCTCTCAGATAGTCTGTTGCCCAATAGTAACTCCCAGCCACATACTCCAGTAACACCCAGCCACTCCACACTTCTCCACATGGAATGCCCTTGTCAGGAACCTATTTGATGGCAGGCTAGACAGTGAGCTCCAGAAAGCTGGCATGTGTCCCCAGTGCCTCTCTCATCTTTTCTCTGGATTATTCACCTACCCATTCCGCAGTGTGCCGTGGCACTGTCCTAGACGACAGGGACGCAGTGAGGAGTGGAAAAGACCACAGATACGGCCCCTAACCTCACAGAGTTGACTGTCTTAGTCCCTGGCCCAGGTAATCTGGAACCTTGCAGTCATGGAGAGGAGGGCTATTCAGGTTGACAAACCCCATGGAGTCTGGAGCCATGACCTCACCATGTACCTATGCCTTTCAGCCTCCAGTCATATTGATTTAGGTTCTGCCTGTATCCTTCTCCATGAACCAACCTGCCCTGGCAACTGAAGTCTTTTTCTGTGGTTCCAAGCAGAGCATTTCACAATGATGGACAGCCTTGGTGAAACTTTGAGCTCACAGAGTATGTTATCCTTGGCTGCCCGGTGACACTTTATCAACGTGCTGGAGTAGAGGTGAAGGAAGAAAAACAAGTATACTGTTAACAGAAATGACTTGCTGTTACCTACTGCATGCCTGGCCCTGAGAGTTCATCATCTGGTAAGCCTTCAAACAAACCTGCGTGAAAACAGAGGCTCTGAGACATTCAGTAACTTGCCCAAGCTAGTAAGTGGCAAGCTGGAATTTCAATCCTGGTCTGAAAAAGCAGGTATTCTTGCCATTTTTCTAAACTGCATCTCTACAGGGTATGAATCCAATCCCCAAGAAGCTTTTCATCTAGGTGGATGGACAAGCCTCACCCAAGAAACCACAAGTTAGGAACAATACTGACAGAGATGCTCTCTGTAGGAGCAAAGGCAGGAATGAGGGAAGATAAGGTTGTACTAGTGGGTTTGAGGACAGTGAGTAGATAAGGCTTGCTTGCCTGAGGAGGCCTGGAAAATAGGGATGGGTCCCCATTGTGACCATCTTTGGATGCCATAATAAAGAGAATGGGTTTTCTCTTTCAGGCACTGGGTGATCCTTGAAGATTTGCGACAGTATAAAGTAAAAGAGCAGCAGTTGAGGATGATGCATTTGGTGTAAATTACAAGTTCCTTCTTGGGGCGGGTTTTTATTTCAGGGGGTGATCACAGGGCAGGGAGAGGTCCACGCATCCCAGGACAAAACAAGACGGCATCTGCTTCCTGTAAGTTTTTAAAATGTGCTGTAAGACCATCTAACTGTCCCACTGTTGGTGAGTGGTTAAGTTGGTACAACCACTTGACAGGAGATTTTGCATTCATCAGAAATATTTAGGAAGGGAGCATTAATTATAGCATGTAAAAATGCTTATGTTAGCCAAAGAACAGAATACAAAATTGAATATTTAATATGATCACTATTCTGCTTAATAATAAAAACAACAGTAATAGTAATAATATATCATCCATGGGGGAAAACTGGAAAGAAAGGGGAATATATAGAATGCTAACAGTAGTTGTGTTAAGGTGATGAGACCCATGGGTGTTCCCCCCAACCCAGCAACTGTGCTACATTTCCCCAGTTTTCTTTAATGACTTGCATTCCTCTTTTCGACATACATTCATCTTTTTCTTTCTCTTAAAAAATTTTTTTGTTGTCTTTTCTAATTGTTATTTTGCCATACCTACGTTGCAGGGGTAAATGAACAAATAGATGCAGCGCACCTAGCACGGTTCTTGGCACAAAATCGGGGCTCTAGGAATGTTAGGTGAGAACGGTCGCTGGCCCGGCATCCCCGCATCTCCAGACCTCTGCCCGGCGGCAGAGACGCTCCCGAAGCCGACGCTCGCCGGGTCCAGCAGGCGCGGTGCCCGCAAAACCCGCCGCCCAGCCCGCCCTGCGTACGTGGAGCCCGGGCCGCACCGCCCCACACACCCCCTGCAACCTCGCGCGACGTCGCGCTCACCCACGGCCCCGCCCCCTGTGACACCACCTCCAGGAGGCAGGACTGCAGCGGCCCCGCCCGCGCCTCCTCCGATAGG